ACACTGGGCATAGCTTGAGCATAGGAGACCTCAAACCCCACTCCCAACAGTGACACACTTCCTCCAACAAGAGTACACATACTCTAACAAAGCCACACCTCCTAATAGCGCCACTCCCTATGGGGACCATTTTCTTTCAAACCACCAGTGGAGGCAGAGACAGAAGGAACGCCACAAGCTTAAGGCTAGCCTGGGCTACATAGTATCCTCTGGGCCAGCTAGGACTTCATAGAGAGAGTCTGTCTCAAAAATAGTTACCATGTGTATATGCCCACCAGGGCCAGGAACAAATGTCTCTCTTTTATGTGGATGACACACTGCATTGGATACTTTTTATTGTGACTAAACAAGCAGCAATATTAACCATTTTAATCCTTTGCAAGTATACAGTGGAGCTCTGTAAGCATGTTCACAATGTTGTACACTGAGCCATCACTATCCATGACTCACTGCATCCACCCCCTGGAAAACAGAGACAGAGACAGAGAGACAGACAGACAGACAGACAGAGACAGAGACAGAGAGAGTGCAGTGTGGTGGTACATACTTTTAGCTCCAGTACTCAGGAGGCAGAGGCAGAATTTTGAGTTCCATACCAATCTGGGCTATATATCAATACTCTGTTTTTAAAAAGAAAATGGAGTGAGGGCAGAAGGCCTGGAGAGATGGCTCAGTAGTTAAGAGCTCTGGTTGCTCTTCCAGAGGACCTGAGTTCAGTTCCCAGGACCTGAATGATGCCTCACAACTACCTATAACTCTAACACTAGGGAATTCAACGCCTGCTTCTGGCTTCCATGGTTACCAAGCACACACATGGCACACAGACATACAAACAGACAAAAACAACCATACACGTCTATTTTTGAATTGGGCCATGATGTAGCTTAGCTAATAGAGAGAGCTTGTTTCGAATGCTGAGGCCCTGTGTTCCATCTCCACCACCACATTAAACCAACGAGGTGGCACATGCCTGTAGCCTCAGCACTTGGGTGGTAGAGACAGCAGAATTGAAAGTTTTTTTGAGACAGGGTTTCTCTGAGTAGCCCTGGCTTTCCTGGAACTCACAGAGATTACCTGTCTTTGCCTCCCAAGTGCTGAAATTAAAAGCATGCGCCACCATCACCCAGCTAAATTGAAGGTTTTTATTTTGTTTTTGTTGTTTTGTTTTGCGTGTCAGTGTGCCAAAAGCTTGCTGGGAAGAGGACTTCCAACTGAGAAAAATTCTTCCATCAGATTGACCTGTAGGCCAGTATATGGGACATTTTCTTGATTAATGACGGGAGGGCTCAGCTTACTGCAAGCCGTGAGGTCTTGGTGAAGTCTCCAAGCAGAGCTCCTCCATGGCCCCTGCTTCAATCCCTGCCTTCAGGTTCCAGCCTTTGCTTCCTTCACAACAGCCTATGTCTCCCCCCCTCCCATTGCTTTGGGTCGAGGTGCTTATAACCAGGACGCAGGGCTGAAGGCTGGGTGGCAGAGTACCTGCCTAGCCTGTGCTTGCAATGCAATGCCTTTAGTTTGATTCATAGTACTGAGGGAGGAAAACAAGTACAAGAAAAGGAGGAACCGTGGCAAATTCAAATTGCAGTCATGAAGATTCAGACCTATGGTTTTGTTTGTTTTTCTAACAGCTTTACAATTTTAGATCTTTAATCAGTTGTCTCTGCCTGGAATTGCAAGCATGCACTGCACTGCCTCGCCTGGCCCTGTCTTGTCAGTTGTTTCAAGTTTGTTTTTAACCTGGGTTTTAGGGATTGAACTCATCTCCTCTGACCCCTTAGCTTTTTGAGTGTTTGCTGTGCAAAGCACAGACCTGGAAAACAGATATGTCTTGTCACTTGACTCCAGACAAGTTCTTCTGGGTCTCTGGGCCTCGTTTTTGTTCTTGGGGTGTGGTGGGGTGGGGAAGGAGAGGGTTGCAGCATCTCTGATAGGGACCTAGGCTCCCCACGTTAAGCTTCACATTCTCCAAGGTCTCCATCTGCACCTTGGCAGTGGTACCGCCACACACACACACACACACACACACACACACACACACACACACACACGCACACACACACACCCTACCTCCAGTCAGAACGGCCCTCCAGGACAGACACTAAACATAGGGAGTCCTGAAAAACCCTCTTGGCAACCGTTCCCCTCCATCCTCCCCCGCCCCAGACAACCACTGTCCCAGTGGTAGGAAAACTGCAGGACTGTGGAAATAAATGTGCAAAGGGCTGCCTCCAGCAGTTGACAGTTTTCTTCACAGGTGGCGGAGTGAGCTACTTGAAAATCAGCTTGCAAAGCACATGCCCCTAAACGCCCCTTTCCTACTCCATCGCGCTTAGCCTTGCTCCCTTGGGAGCCCTGAGGTGGGGCCACACAATACCTTCAGACATAGCTGAGTGAAGGCTGAACAGATGAGTGAGATGAGCTATGGGCCCTTTCCCCTGAAGGCCTCAGCTCGGGGTGAAGCAAACTTTTTCTAGGAAGAGCACATTGCACCTGCTCAGCTCTGTCACGACAGTGCTACCAACCATGCAGAAATGAATCCGGGTGGCCATGTCCCAATAAAACTTTATTTACACTACTGAAAAGTTCTTTTCGTATTGTTTTCATTGGTCTTTTTTTTCCAGATTTTTCTCCAGTCATTTAAAATATAAAACCTAGGTCTAGTTCAAGTTCATACAAAAACAGATGAGTTCTGGCCCTTTAATCCAAGCACTAAGCCATCTGAGACAGGAGGAACAGGAGTTCAAAGCCAACCTGGACTACATAGTGAGGCCCTATCTAAAATAAGTATCTCTCAATGCATTTGGCCTATGAGCTAGTTTGCCAATTAGGCTTAGATGTTTGCTTTTCTGTTTCTGTTTTCAAATTTTATTTATTTTTTCTTAGCAGAGGAAGGTGTGTGTGTGTGTGTGTGTGTGTGTGTGTGTAACATTATTGAATAATTAGGGATTAGTAAAGGGAGGCATGTTAGCACACAAAGGTAATCCCAGCGCTCAATACGTTGAATCAGCAACCCTAAGCCAGATGTAGTGGCCCACATCTTTAATACCAGGACTGGGGAGGCAGAGGCAGGCGAATCTCTGAGTTCACACCAGCCTGATCTACAAAGTGTGTTCCAGGACTGCCAGGGTTACATAGAAAGACTCTGTCTCAAAAAACAACAACAACTAAAGGATTGTCAGAAGATTGAGGTCAGGTTGGGCTACATTGTTAACAACAGCAAAATAGCAACTTGAAAAACAAATAAAATTAGAATAGTTCATAATTTCAATATGCAGAGACATCTACTTCTGCTAATGAGTATTATTTACTCACTCTGTCTTTCAACTATTTGTATCGCTTCTGTCCAATATGATAGCTACTTACTTTGTGTTTGTGTTTGTTTTTCTAAGTGGGCAACAGGGGGTGATGATTGAGACAGTCTCAGAGTCTCACATTATAGCTCATGCCGATCTACAATTTGATAAACATCCCAAGCTGCTCTCAGACTCATGGCAATCCTCCTGTCTAGGGCTCCTGAGTGCTGGGATTGTAGGAATTACTCATTTTAATGGAGTGGGCAGCTCATGTATCTCAGGCAGACCTCGAACTTGATTTTAATCAAGGATGACCTTGGATTTCTGATCCTCTGCCTCTGTTTTATAAGTTCTGAGATTATAGGCATGAGCTGTAAGATTTTATTTATTTTTATTTCTTTGAGAAAGGGCCTCACTAGTTGTCCTGGAACTCACTTTGTAGACCAGGCTGGCCTGAACTCACAGAGTTCCAGAACAGGCTCCAAAGCTACACCAAGAAACCCTGTCTGGGGAGGAGGCAGGTTTAAAGCAAAATGATGGAAATGCTTTTTCACCAAGATGGCTGTGTGCACATCACTGTCTGTGGGCTTTCCAGGAGTTGTACACTTCATGGATTGCTGATCCAGTGTCATCTCAGCCATTATTGAGAGAAATAGGATATTTCTAGTTTAAAAAGTCTTATGGTGGTGGCGGCCACACCTTTAATCCCAGCACTCTGGAGACAAAGGCAGACAGATCTCTGTGAGTTGGAGGCCAGAACGGTGTACATAGTGGGTTCCAGGACAGAGTTATGTAGAGAGACCCTGTCAAACAAACAAACAAATAAATGGAACAAGAAAGAGAAGGAAAAGGGGGGAGGAGATGGCTCAGCAGTTAAGAGCCCTGAGTTCCATTCCCAGCACCCAATTCTGTCAGCTCACAACCACCCGTAACTCCAGCTCTAAGGAATCCAAGGACCTCCCAATGGCCTCCTCCAGTACCCACACAAGCATACACAGACAGACAGAAAGAAGATTAAAATAAAATAAATCTTTATTTTTTTAATGAGAGAAAAAGGTATGGGACTATCACATCTTCCTTTTAACTAGTTTTCACACTGAATTTTCAGTTTTCTGAACGCATACCCATAAAAGAGGTACAACCAATACTGCCTCACTTTATCATTAAGGAAACCGAGGAGGGGGGCCGGAAGAGACCCCCCCTGGGTCTGACTCCCAGTTTAGCGTTCTTCTCATTGCCCTGTGGTGAACCACTGATGGACCAGAGGTGGCAGGGAGGGCTGAGGGCACTCCCTCTGTTTCAGGGCCCGGGATTCTCAGGTTCCAGAGACCAGATGCGAAGCAAAGCGCAGGGAGGAGGGGGCGGGACAGCTACATTCACCAGCAGCCTCAGGATCTTAAAACAGTGAAGTGGGGTGGGGGTACGATGAAGATTCATGTTAATTAGTCTGCAATAGCCGCCCCCACCTGTAAGAAAACGACCCCTAACCTCCATCAGACTTGCCGGGGACCCTCCGGCTGCCTCTCCCCCAACTTCCTGCTCCGGCCCTCGCGACCCTCCTCCGAGACCCCCGAGCGCATCCTACCCTCCGAGGTCGGACTCTGCCCCCGCCCCTCCCTCTCCCTCCCCCCCGGGGGCGGTGGCCCATGGAGAGCACTCCCATTGGTCGTGGCGCAAGCAAGGATTGGAGGCGGCGGTGCTGATTGGCCAGGGCGCCTCGGCGAAGCTTGGGAGCCTGGCGAGTCGCTGGGGAAAGCCGAGCAGACGCCAGAAGCAGACCGGAGCATCGGAAGGTGATCGTGCTAGTCGGACCCGCGGATCGCAGCCTGTAGATCGCGGCCGGGGCCTGGAGGTAAGAGTGACGCGTCCGGGCGCGCCTGGCAGACCCTTCTGAGGGAAACCCTGCACCCGGGAAGCCAGATCCCAGCATTTTCCTCTACAATCTGGGCCCACCATCCAACCAGCACGCGGGCTCCTGCCCCGAAGAGAAAGGGTCCCCCACTCCCCAGGCCCCAGGAAGCAAGACAGCTTCGTGTAACCTTCAGAAATGGGGCCGTTCGTTCTGGTCGCTGATCGGAGGAGAAAATCCCTCCCTTGTTTAAGCCTTGGAATAGATGCCTCTTCCCCAAGTAGAGTCCTGCCTCCCCAGATATCTTTACCCTCTGCCACCTCCTCCCATTCCCTGATAAACTAAGTTACGGTCTCTTGCTTCTCTCTCATTCCTGTCTCCTTGGGATGTTGAGGTCATAGCTGGTTTAGAAGGGTCTTGTCCCTCCCCGACTGTGAAGGTCCCGGAGAATAAGACCCTCCCTTCAACAAGGACATCCCGGGCCAAATCACCTGCATGCCTACCCCAGAAATTAGGCTCTGGATTCTAAAGACAGATGAATTCTCCACTATCCCTATGAAGACCCCCTCCCCACCCATAGGAGAGGCCACATGTCCCCCTCCCCAGAAAAGGCCTTTAGGGGCTTCTAGTGGAAGGGGAGGGGCTTTTACCCCCAAACAGGCGCTCATTCCTGGCCAAGTGGTCCATCCTCCACAATCTTTCCACCTAATCCCACCCTGTTAACACTGCTGCCCTCCCATCCTTTCCCACCTCACTCCAACCCCCCCCCCATCATCCCTTCCACCTTCCTCAGTCCAGTGGCTAAAAGACCAAAAGAAGCTTCCTAAAACTGAGGCCCTGGAAACTATCCCAGGCCTAGGGCTCCTTTCAGGGGACGCCAAACTCTAAGAACACAGATGGCCTCACACTGCAGGACCAGCAGACACCCCCTGCCACCCCCACCACGACCCCCACAAAGATAAAGGGCTGTTACTCAGGGTTACCCTCCAGAGGCAGGTCTCTGCACTCTGGACAAAGGGGACTCAACACAGAGAAGGGCTGTTAGCCCACTCCAAGGGTCCCGTTTGCTTCCTGGGCCTCCCCATCAACTCCTGTGGCTAGTGCCTGATGGAATTCCCTGGGCCTTTGGCCAAGAGAAGGATGTTGCTGGGTTTATCCATTGGTCTGAGGACAGTGTTGGCTCAGCTGTATAGCTCCCACACATAGCCTGAGGAGGTTTGGTGGGGACAGATCAGGAGACAGGAAAGCAATGGATCCTGGCTTGTTCTCTGTATCTGGGCACGGTGATACAGGATAGGGAGAAACGTGTTTCCTGGAGGCCAGAGGTCAGCTCTGGGAGAGACAAATGACCCTGTCTGCAATCCTAACATGGAAATGAGCGTCTAGATTGAGACTGACCATTTGTTTGGTAGTGGAACAAACTGAGGTACAAAAAGAGAAAGGGACCTGCTCAAGGTCACCCAGCCAGTCACTGACAAAACAACCGGAGCTCCTACAGGGTCCCTGGGCTCCCAGCGCCAGCTCCAGTCTTCATACGTACCGTGGGCTTTTCCAAGCACCGTGACCCCACGCATCATAGGAAGCAGGAACACTGAGAAAGTCATCTCAAAACGAGCAGAGCTTGTAAGAACGCCTGTGTCCACTTCGCAGGCCCCTGGTGGAAGCCATCCCTGGGGTCTTATGGGTTTCTGTTTTATACCTGCTGCCAAGCAAAGCTTGCCAAAATCCAGACCGACCCAGTAGAGTGGATATTATCAGTTACAATATTCTAGAGCCAAGGCCACTGTGGGGACCTCAGCCGCATGCTGGGTTTGCTTCAGGAAGGATGCCTGAGGAACTGCACCCCTTTCTTCTGTCTGGGACCGTGCTCTCTGGTTGCCACTCTCTGCAGTAATGTCTCAGAGTACTGCACCCTTTCCTGGCACGTGGCTGATTCTCCAAGACCCTTCAGATAGGTATGCAGAGGTGGATGGGAGAGTCTGGGGCACCAGCTCAGTCCCGCTCTCAGCTGGAGGGGTCGCTGTCAGACTTCAGGGAGCCCCAGAGCTGAGCTCAGGGTGAAAGTGCAGAGAGGGGAGAGCTGCTTTCCACCTCCCTGCTGTGCAAGCTTGGGAAGGTTTTCTTTTCTTTTTCATTCATTTTTTTTTTAAAGCAGACTCATGTAGGATAGGCTAGCCTCCCTGCATAGTAGAAGATGACCTTGAACTTCTGATCCTCTCTCTGCCTCCACCTGAATGCTGGGATCGTGCCCAGTTTGCCATGCAGTGCTGAGACTGGAGTGAAGGGCCAGGCCAGCACTCTGCCAGCCAACTGAGCTATAACCCCTGACCCTTGGGGAAGCCCTCCTCTCTCTGTTACTTATCCTTAGGGGGAAATAAGTTAACCCACAAAGTAAATAGCACAGCTAATAGGTAGAAACAGTGTCACAATTTCACCTGCAGAGTCAACCCAAACAGGTAGAACGTGGCGGTAATGCCTCTAGATGTGCCTAGGAACCTCTATTGGTGACAGTCCGCCAGGACAAAGGCAACAGACAAACGGGGGGGGGGGCATTGGAGACAAGGGAGGAATTGGGAAATGGAGCAGTGTATGGAATGGACCACAGACCTTAAAGCCAGTCAGACTGAGGGTCAGCCATTCATCAACTACTTCTGGGGGAACATGAGCAAGCCATTAACTTCTCTGAGCAAACCTCAGTTCTTTTTAGCCTGTGGGGGTGGGTGTCAGGTAAGGGACAGCCTGGATCCAGGTTTCCTATTCTTAGCACCACTGGCATTTTGAGTTGAGTGATTCTCAGCTGTGCGTTTTATCTTCTTCATTGTGCTGTATACACTAAGATACCAGTAACACTACCTCAGTTGATGGGAAGTAGGGAGGTGGCTTAGTGGGTAAGCATGAGTTTGCATCCCCAGCACCCATCTAAAGCCAGGCTGGATGGCTAGGGTATGGAGATGGAGACAGGTAAATCCTAGTCAGCCAGTTTTGCCAAAATCATGGGCTCCAGGTTCAGTGAGAGGCCTGCACAGAGAATAAGGTGAGTAGTCATAAAATACCTGGCCTCCACACATGTGTGCATGGATGAGCACAACCACACACACACACACACACACACACACACACACACACACACGAATCTCCAGATGATTAAATGTCTGATCATGGATAAAGTCCTCCTCCTCCCCCATTGAGAACAACTGACTGGCCCAATGTGGTTTCAAACATGACTGAAGTTGGAGCTAAGCTGCCTCCCTGCTGCACCAGCCCCTTGCTGTGGGGTCTTTGTGATGGGAGGGCAGGGAATGATCAGCTGCCTCCAGACATCAGGGACATTTTAGTCTCTCTCCTTTCAGCAGAACCTTGCCATTTGCAGAGCACTGCTAGGATTCCCATTTTACAGACCATGGAGATGAAAAGTCTTGTCTGAGAGTATCATTCTTACCCACAGAGACCAAAGACATGCTCAAGGAGCAAGCGCTTGAAATTTGTTACATTTATTTCTTTATTTGCACGCCACAATGTCGAGGTAGAGGACAACTATTTTAGAGTTGGTTATTTCCTTCTAGTTGGTGGGTCCCGGGATGGAAGTCTGGTCTTTAGTCTTGGCAGCAAGTGCCTTCACCTGTTTGCTGAGCCTGGACTGCAGTTTTAGAGACTATCTTGTTCTAGAGGTTTTCTCAGAAGGACGTGAGCCACTCAAACTCCAGGGAGACCCAGCAGCCAGCACCCAGGAGTCTGCTCCAGCAATGTCCCCACATGTATGCAGGTGACATAGGAACACCCACTTGTTATCACAGTGTGGGGAGGGGCAGCATTCTGGTGTGCTCCCAATGGACAAAGAAACGACCTTTTTAGAAGAATGAGGTAGATTTAGGTCCCAAGCCTGGAAAGGTCTCAAAGGTGCTGTATTAACAAGAGAGGGTGGTCCTATTTAAAAAACACCATAGGTAGGGAAAGACCTAGGCACCTGTGTGGCTGACCACGCCCATTTTGGGCGTGGCTACAGATGCGTTCGGGCATGCAAAATAAAGGGCTGAGGAGAGAGCCCTCTTTTTCCTTTTCCGGGGTTCTGGACTGGTCTCTGAAACCTGCTGAGACTAGCCTGGGTTGCCAGTTTCTCTTGTAAGTACTTTCCCACAACGAATAGTCACCAATACCCTCATCAAGCGTACACTTATATTTCCTTATCAACCATATAAATACACAAGAAAATGAGTAGTTAGGGGCCATTGAGTTGGCTCAGTGGGTGGAAGGGCTTGTCACTAGGCTAACAACCTGGGTTCCATCCCCAAGACCCACATGGCAAAGGAGAGAAAAGTCTCCTAAGAAGTGATCCTCTGACTTCCACAAGAATACCATGACACATACACACAAAAACGTATTTAAGAATTTTTAAGAAGGTCAGGCTGTGGTGATGCACACTTTTAATCCAAGCACTCAGGAAACAGAGGCAGGTGGATCTCTGAGTTTGAGGCCAGCCTGATCTACAAAGTGAGTTCCAGAACAGCCAAGGCTGTGCAGAGAAACCCTGTCTGGGGAAAAACAAAAGCAAAAACAACAACGACAAAAAATTAAGAAAATGAATCACTTGCCATAGCACAAAAAGCAGCTCACCAGAATGATAGAAAGAAAAATGATAACTATGGAAGTGATTCCCAAAAAGGGACACTGCATGTGTTGGGGGGAGGGGAGGAGGAGCCCCAGCCTGCCTCTCTGAGCAGACAAAGCCCAGAGGCTGAGCCTGATGCACACCTGAAGTTGCCGGTGGCAGAAGCTCAGGCCTGAGCTCCCAGACAGTTCTGGGGCTAAGAAACAGGAATTTGGAGACCTCGTCTGTGCTGGATGGGTGTGTGGAGGCGTGTCTGGAACTGTCTTTTGTGGAACTGGGCTTCTCTTATCAACCATTCTGGTCTCTTGGAGCCCTGTTACCCCCATCTTTACATAGGGTGTTAGTAAAAAAAAAAAAAAGGAAAAGAAAAAAAAACACAACAGCAGAATTAAGAGTT